TCGGGGACCTCGCCCTCGCCCCCCTCCCCCCGTCGGGCAAATCCTGGCGCCACCCCTGTCTATTTTGTTTATACATATATTATAAAACAAATGGATTAGGCCCTATGTCCATAAACATTTAATAAAATACAATAAGTTCTGAAGAAAATCAACTTTAGAATTATATTAGGCTATCGGTACTGAATAACATAGACTCCATCATAATTGACACAGCAATTATTATTATTTATTATTATTATTTATTATTATTATTATTATTATTATTGTTTATTATTATTATTATTTATTATTATGAATATTATTTATTATTATTATTTATTATTATTATTATTATTATTTATTATTTATTATTATTATTATTATTATTATTATTATTTATTTATTTACACTTATGTTTGAATAATGTATTGTAGATGTAGGACTGGGTTTTATGCTTTGAATGTAGTGAATTCTCTGTAGGTCCTAAGTTATCACCTTTCAAGCCACAATCGAAATCATATAAATAAATAAAGGTAGAATTATTGTCTTTAGAAATATCAGTTTTAAAGCCAGGTTCTCGGAGGAAAACATTTTTTGATGTTGTAGGCCTACAAAGATTTAAAATGGTGTTTCGTGAAAAAAATCGGGAAGGGTCGTAACCACCCAACCCTTTCCTCCAGTTTTTAAATATTCAAAAATCTGTATCTCATTAACACCTAAGTTATCAGTTGTATATACAACATTTCGATTTCCTCCTCCGGAGCCTGGCTTTGACATGTCCTAGGCCTATATATGACATCATGTAATTTTTCTAAAATATGTAAACAAACTTAAGCATGTGTTGATGGATTTATTTATTTCAATTTTTAATATGTACTTCATAAGTAATACGTTCCGTGTAGAATTGACATTGCTTCAGATACCAATTGACTTCGTGACACGTATTATATCCTTAATTCCCATTGGACAATTACGCTAATGGAAAGCGAATCGACAACAGTAAACACTGACAATCAAACGCCATTTAAATCATTTCATATTCAATACAATTTTGGCGACGGCGTTCTAGTTAAAGTTGTTCGTGTTAAATGGCGCCGTTGTTATATGAAGCTAAATAGTGTTTAATGCACTTCGCGAATCGCGCCACCAGATCCTGTGAAACCTCGTTTAGAAAGTCCGGTTTTACAAGCAGCATAAATTCGGTTACCGAGTTAGCACACCCTCGTATAAATTGTACTAATTTTCTTGCTGAGTTACGTATTACAATGATAGTTTTCATTGGAGCACGTATTTCTATCAACGACGCAGTGCTCTATTATTTTCAATCTTTAACGTACACACATCTTAAGCAAACGACTTTGTTTTTGCAATCATTCAAGCGATAAAAAACTGGCGAGTTTACTTTGGAAGACCGATGTAATGATACTTAACGCCAAATTAAAATTCAGACATCTTCATAAACATCGAACAAAATGAGCAATGATGATGCGAGAGACAACGTAAAAAACGTGTACTTGATGAGGGTAAATGTACGCTACAAAAATCGCAATGCAAGTATACGTGATGTGTGGCATTTTCCTGCCTCAAATTGTGTTTACAGTAACCTATGCCATAATTGCTGTATTCATTATTGGTTATTTACCTGTATTTACCTTGAAATTAATGAGTTCGGAAAACATAATAACATTCTATAGTCTATGAAGACAGCTTGGGGACTTGAATATTATCAATAGGTTGTGTAGAGATATTCAGAAATTGAATTTCTTGCTCAGTGTATTAAGTACCGTAATACACGTTTAACTTATTCATTTCCATTGAAAAAATTAGGCCTACAAGAAAATAATTATACTGTCTGCTTTAATTCACAGACGCATTTACTAATTTTATTCTGGTCTATTTTGATTGCAGTAGTCCTATATTAAAATTGTTAGGTAATAAATTATGTTTTTTTGTACTAAAAGAAGAACTTAGTTAAAGATGTATTGTCCTTTTCGAAGATACGCACAGTCGTGAGCCCAGGGAGATGCTATAAATCCAGGCAAGTTATCTTACATAGGCTACGGCCGTGGATGCTATTTAAGCCTGTGCTTTATGTATGTAGAACCCTAATTATCAATAAGTACAAATATCCTTTACGGTATTGTATACCGAATCACGATGATTGTGTAGCAAATTGCATTGCGTTGCTTAATATCAAACCAAACATCCTAACCGGTCAATGAAAGTTTTTTAGATGAATTTTATGAGAACCGAACGTGATTAGCCGACCAATCAGCTGTCAGTGTAGGAATTTACAACGTCTGCTGTAAAAAGGCGACGAGGACCTCGACAACGTCAGACGCACAGCGTAAATGCTCACTCATGCATGTTAAATATTCAAAGTGCCTGTTTTTCGTCGTCTGCTGTTATATCATTCTTGTGGTAGTTTCCGGAGCAAGAACTGATATGTGATATTATTTGATACTGAGAATACTTAAACTTTTTGGAGTTTTTTACTTGGTAAGTTGAAACATATGTTTTCCATTGCCGTAGAATTCTTACCTGTAACTGACTGATTTTTCTCATGTAAAAAATACCAGACGTATTTAATTTTGCCTCGATGATTTTTATCTATATATTTTGCCAAAAAGACAACGTTATATCTTTTTTGATATCTGTTATAAGACGGAGTGCCATACACTGGTCTATCAATATTATAATGCACTGTGATTATTCGAAATGCAAATATAAAACAGTCAGGCCTATTTAGTTAGGCTCCTATTCAATATCATCCAAAAGTGGATCGCAAACAATATGCCTACCAAGCACGAAGCTCATTTAAAAAAAAATTCATTTTGAAGTAAAACGCTTATTTTTAAAACTTCGTCATATCATGTTTTTGCCTGCGATTTTTAAAAACTTATAATAATATATAATGGGATAAATACCGTAGGCTAACTCGGAATCACGCGTACGTATTGCCGTGCTGATGATTGCCAATTGGTACAAGCGCCACTTGGCACAATGTTTTTTTTTTATAACTTGCTTTTACTAGTATGGTATATCATAAACAATGTGTTGTAGCTGTAGCAATTACCTGTGGTGTCTTCGGCTCCTCCGGGTACTTTCTGGGCTGTCATGGATCTCACTTAATTCTTCTTTGGGCCATCCTGACTGATATGTCATACACAAACCATTCTCTGATTGTCCGGTCCAATACTTTGTTACTTGCCTACTCATCTCTTTCCTTTCGTTTTAAGGTCCACGATAATTGCACTCATTTTGATGTCTTTACAACTAGGGTCACATTTTCAATCCAGGCGATTTCCTCATATTTAAATATTTAGAATTATTTATTAACTTCAGCTGCAGCATTACCGGTACCACAGGATGGATTTAGGGTTTATCTGTTTATATATCTCATTTAATTTATTAATCTTTTCTGAGACGCTGACTTGTAAGCTCAAATGAGGGCGTATCCTGTTCTCAGTTCAGCTTAAGTACCAAAAAGAGATGCTATGATTTATCAGTCATGCCGAACCATCAGAGAATGGTTCGGCATGACTGATCAGTCAGGATGGTTATCCACCCTTCCGATCTTGATTGGGGCCCACATCTTCGTGGAATTGGAAATAAAGAATGTCAGACTTTAGGTTTATAGGAACGATTGGATGTCATAATCCTAAATTAATTATTAAACTTCATGTCTCTCATTCGACCAATATCTGAATATGGATACCTCTGGTGTTTTTACAAACCAACAATCCCACAAATTGAGGATCTTGATAAAATACCACGTAGGGTAACTAGATTGTATTTTCCCAGAGCTAATTCTAATTTTAATATTTCATTGGTTCCATAATGAAACCCGACTTCAATGTCCAAATCTGATGTGCCTTGTTAATAGATTTACATTTTTAGGATTACATTAATTGCAAAGGCCTTATATAAAAAAATCAAAATATCTATTAAATATTATATCTCTCAGAATTTGTACCACACCGATCACCTTATTTTTTTTATGCAGGGGCGGATTTTCAAAATAGAAAAAAAAAGAAAAAAAAAAAGAAGAAGGAAATAATTAATCGTGCAAAACGTCTCAAAAGTTATTTTCGGGTGTTTAGAAAACAATGAATTCTCGGGGTTATGCCCTGGACCATTTTGGCTTGTGTAATCTTAAACAACTCCACTTTTGGCACCCCTCCCCCACCTTTTTTTACATCTTTGGATCAGCCCCTGTTATCAAGGGCGTCGATCCGTAGTTGAAAGTGGTGGGGGAGGGGACGAATTGGGAAAAGTTGGGGACCATTGGGAAAATTTCCGGAACTCTGGCGCCTATAGCCTTTTAACTGATTTTAAGCAATGCAATTAACATTTATTTCCATACGAAATTTTCAAAATATCCAGTGACGGACCCAGTAATTTGAAATAGAGTCGGGCCCAGAGAGGGTCTTTTACAGATAGAAAGCGTGACCACCTCAGCCCCACCATGGTTGGGGCTGAGGTAAGAAAATTTATGATTATGGCACCTCTAGTTGGTCGGAAATAGCACTCTCAGACTGAATTTGAATATAATTTATATTTTTCTCCATTTCAAAAAAAAAAAAAAAATATAGGGATGGTTGGGCACCTTGAATCTGTTACTGAAATACTCACCATTTTAGTCATAATTATGCCCGCTTATATATTTCGTGCCAACTAACATTCATAAAAATAATAATTTATTATCTACTGATTAGCTTGTGACGTATTCAAAATTCGAACCATAAAAAACAAATAAGATGAACTTAAAACAGTCATTAATTTAGTCGTTTTGCATGTACACTACATTTAAAATCAATGAAGAGGTTTTTACTTTTCTCCTCTTTTTGAATTTCACTTTTGTGCAAGTACCGGTAATATTGGGACTACACTATTGTGAGTGGAAATAATACCGTCTAATTTACGATCAAACAAATACTAGGGAGATAGGAAGCACACAAAACATTAGTTAGCATTTTGATTTCACAAACATAACGGTGATTTACTTAATATATTATTATCAGTGGCGGCAACAGGAAAGCAAAATAGAGGGGGAGTGGGGAACAGGGAGGGACTTGCAGAATTTGGGAAACTAGATCACCTCAGCCCCAGCATGGGTTGGGGCTGAGGAAAGAAAATTTATGATTATGACACCTCTAGATTGCCAGAAATGGCACTCTCAGACATAAATTCCAATTATAATTTTCCTTTGTTTTTATTCCATTTAAAAAAAATAATTTACAAAAATTTAAGGTCGGCCCGGCCCCACTTGAATCCGCCAGTGATTATTATGACGTCATTGCGAGACTGCGTCAACGTAACACTAGAGTTTGTAAACTTTTAGTATCACTAAATCGAAATAGATAGACATGTCCGTGTCAAAGGCTGTATAATTATTGCTATAAAATTCAATTGACCAACTATAATTTTTTGAAATTAGGAAAAACAGTAATCCTATGTATGTAGATAATATAGAACACTAGTATATACGTACGGGTCATAATTATATACAAAAGTAATAAATCGTTTATAGTATAAATTGTTCACATTTGAGTTTGTGAAAATTGGCCTAATAAGTGTACACGCTTCCAATTTTAACAACGTTCAGTACATTGTTTTCACAATAAATTTAGCCTCTGATAACCACTGTACCCATAAAATAGACATAGTGGTTTCTAAAATGGTTACGAAATGTATTAACAATTGCGTTTCTACTCGGTTTTGGTCCGGAAAATACGTACCGCACTTGGAAAAGTGAACAGACAAAATTCATGACACCAATGCGTAATTGTTATTCTTCGCTTTTAAAAGTGGGGTTTTAATTGTACCCTACCGATCGACGTCCATGCCTGTTATCCGTAATATTTCCAGAACTAACGCTGCCCATAATCATATATTTAATGCTTTCCCATGGATGTTCAACGAACTACCTTTATTAAAGATTCGCTTGTCTTTCCCTTTCATATTTCGTTTTTGTTTACTTAACAGCTTGCTGAATGTTAACAGATAAAGTTTGCATTTGTCTGTCGATATGGAATGGGATTTTTAACTCTTGTGTATACTTTTTGTACTTTTGATTCATTTGTATATTTTTATCTATTTTTAACTGTGGTTTTTTAGGAGGTTGGAGAGTCAATAGATAGTTGATTTAATTCAACTTTTTGATTATCCCGTCTGCCCCTTAATAGTTCCTGCTTTATGTAACTTTCTTCGTTGTTCGAAGACGAACTAAATGAAATGAAATGACTCGCGTTTCTAGCTTGGACAAGAAATTGCAAAATACCTCAATGGTTTAGCTTATTTAATTCATAAATTTATTTATTTCATTATCATCCAACAGGAATTAGCTCGACAATTACTTTTTCATTTTATTTATGGAGTTGTTTGAAAGTTTGAAAGGCAAATGGGAAAAACCCATAAAACAGCACACGGCCATATAATGCAAAACCATTTAAAATTAAAATTAAAACGGAACAGTAAAGAGAAAATCCGATCAGAATGACAAAATAAACTAAGCATCCACTGGAAGGAATCCCAATATCTGCAGACGGATCCGTTTCGGCCTTCCAGGCCTCATCAGTGCAGCTAGGGTACAGACCCAAACGAAACGTTCGACCAGCTTAGGTAGGGCCCAAAC